GCGAGGCCGCCAGTGGAGCCCCAGCCAAGGGTAAAGCACAAGGAAGTATCGAGCGACAGGATTGCCTTGGTGGGGATGGGGGCTGTCGGCGGCGAGGCAAGGACCTGACCCTGAATTGAGAGGGAGGAACTCTCGAGCAGGGCCGCTATTGTTGCTGGGAGCGGCGCCAACGCTGAAGAGAGTAGGGCGCTAGTCCAGCTTTAAGCAAAAGGTTTTGTTGGGACGGCGGCTGTCGGCGGCGAGGAGGAACACCGCCTTGAGTAAGAAGGGGGGAAGTCTCGAGCGGGAACCGTGGTTTTGACAGGACGGGGTCTGTATGCGGCGAGGAACCAGCACCGTCCTGAGGAAAAAGGGAGGAAGTCTGGAGCGGGAGCGTTGTTCTTGCTGGGAGCGGCGCCAATTCACAAGAGAGCAGGGCGCCAGTCCAGCGTAAAACTGGCGAAAGTCTCGGGCGGGAGCGGTGGTTTTGTCGGGGTGGCGGTTTTCGGCGGCGATTTGGAGCACCGCCTTGAGTAAAAAAGGGAGGAAGTCTCGAGCGGGAGCGTTGTTCTTGCTGGAGGCGGCGCCGATGAGAGAAAGAATAGCGCGCCAGTCCAAGGTAAAACGGGAGGAAGTCTCGAGCGGTAGCGCTGGTTTTGTTGGGACGGCGGCTTTCGGCGGCGAGCAAGAGCACCGGCCCTGAGGAAAAAAGGAGGAAGTCTCGAGCGGGAGCGTTGTTGTTGTTGCTGTACGGCCAGTTTTGGCGCCCCTCCAAACCGCGCAAGCGTGAGTTTCATTTTCGATGATTGTGTAGCCAGCGCCAAGACGAGAGCGCCAAAGCGCTCGGGGGGTCCGATAATAGTATCTGTTTAGTAGTTGACAGCCAGCAATTAACATTCAACCGTAACAACAACAGTAACAACTGCCACAGTTACTGTGGCTGTTGTATCACCAGATCTACTGAGCCTCTACGCCCCCCAGTCTCTGGGCAGACCGCCGTCGCCGATTTTTGTTTTTTTACCTGGTGTTGGGGGCCGCCGCCGCTGCCGCGAGTTTGCAGTGGGGTCTCTGGCCGAGCTCGCTTGCCGCCGAAATGCGAGAGGGGCATCGGTTGTTTGTATACTGAATTGCCTTCAGCCTACCCCGCCACCGCGCCTGGGTCGCGGGCCAGAGGCCTCTTCGCAGTTGCGCGCTTGCTCTCTTCGTTTGGGGGGTTCGGGCCCGGGGCGGGTCGAAGCAGACTTGTGGTGTTCAATTCGTCGCGGTTGCGCGGTTGTTCCCTCTGTGTGGGGGGTTCGGGCTTGAGGGGGGTTTTAAGCAGAACTCCTCTGTGTAATTTGTCGCGGTTGCGCGGTTGCTTATATTTGCGTAGATAGTTCGGACCCAGAGGGGTCAGCGACGGCGAAGCGGGATATTCCCGAAAAGATTCCGGAAACATGTTTGGTTGCGTTTCGGGTGCGCACTCGTGTGTTGAAGGTTTCGTTTGGTTTTGGACGCGACTGCGGGCGTTTTCGGATCAGATAACGGAGGAACATATAACATATTGAATTAGATTGCGGCATCGGATTCAGGCTCGTACTTCGCGGCCCGACGGCATTCAAGTCAGAAGCAGTTGTTACAATAATGCATGCGCGCAGAGTCCGTCGCCGCCGTTTTTACATTGTCACCTTGGCCTGTGCGCGCGGCCGCCGCCAGTTTTTTGTAACACGTACTTGGTGTCCAGGGCGTTGCCCGCCAGATTTTGGGACCCCTCCGCATCGTTCTTTGTGTTTTTTCGTCGCCGCCGTGGGAATCCTCGCAAATACTTGTCCTAGAGTGTCGACCGGGTGATGCTGTTGTTGTTTTTTAGTGTTGAATGTTAATTGCTGGCTGTCAACTACTAAACAAATGCTATTATCGGACCCGCCGAGCGCTTTGCCGCTCTCGTCTTGGCGATGGCTACATATGGCTACACAATCATCAAAATGAAACTCACGCTTGCGCGGTTTGGGGGGGCGCCAAAACCGGCCCTTCAACAGCAACAACAACCACCACAACCACAACCACAACACAACATCAGCAACAACGACGACCGCAACAGCAGCAACAGCAGCAACATTACCAACAGCAATAGCAACACCATCATCAACAGCAACAACAGCAACAGCAGCAACACCTACAACAAACAACAAACAGCAACAACGCTGCCGATCGTGCCGGCACTGGCGCACAGGCTGCCCGCGCAAGGTCGTGCGCAGGCGCCCTCCTCTCCACGCCGTGCGCCGCGCTGGCGGCCCACGTGAGCCACCGCGTAAGGTCGCCACGCCATCTCGCGCAGGATCGGGCCGAACGAAAGCGGTGGATACAGTCGGGGCCCTGAAGAAGGAACCCTTTCCGTTGGGAAGGGGCTCCGCGTTCCTCGAGTGCTTCACAGCTTGCCCCAGGCTTTCCTGATGGTTTCGACCGGAAATCAAAGGTTAACTTATGGGAAAAAGGGGCCTCGTTCCTTATTTTGGGTTCCTTAGGTCACCGCCCTGACTTTAGGGTCAGAGAGCCCACGATTCACTAGCCAGAAACAACTCGAAGAAAAACACATGGCAGAAACACAAACAACTTTTGGCGCTCCGCGCGGAGTTCTTGGATCCGCGCTGGGCCCCCCCGACGGCGCCTTCGGCGCCGCCACTGGCGCGCTCCGCGCGCCAGGGAGGGGGGGTCTAGCGCAGATCCAAGAAATCCGCGCGGAGAGCCAACAGTGTCTGTTGATGCCGTTTGTTCTTCTTCTAACAACGAAAGCCCTTCCAAAACCCTCTGGGACCCCTCCGACAAGCCTGCCGGAAAACCCTTCTCGGAGGGTTTCCCGAGTGTTTCAGCAGCCTTCTGGCTGTCCTGAAAGAAAACCAGTCCATAGCAAACCAAGGAAAGGAAAAGGGGGTCTACGAAATCTGCTGCATGCAGCTGGTTTCGGCAACGCCGCTGGGCCCAATCCTCGATACACGGGCGCCTCCCGACGCCAGGAGGTGCCAGGAAAGCCAGCTACGTGAGCCGATTCTCTACCCTGCCCTTTGTTATCTTACCCTTTCGTTCCCACCGATGATCGACTGAACGAAAGTTTGACCTTCCGCCTGAGTGGCCTTTAGTGCGGGCTCAATGGGGTTCCCCGATCGCTGAACGCGAAGCGGTAGCAGCGGCTTGCGCGCCCATGGTTGGCCACCTTGCGTTCCCCGCTAAGCCGCGCCCTTAAGGTCACTCTTGCCTGGGGTCACCCTTGCGATGGAGCCCACAAAGGACGTGCGCGCCCAACCATGCACATGAGCACGGCCCCTCGATCCGCGAGACCGGCCGCGCATTCCGAACGTTCGCGCAACGCGTTTTTCTCGAAACCAACGTGGATTCATGTACGTCTACGTCCTTCTGTTCAGCCGCGCACCAAAGATCTCTCTTGCCTAGGGTCATTTTTTAGTGTACAATCATCCCGCATAGTAAAGATGGGCAACCTTCCCAAGGGTACCTTTGCAGCCTGGCACTCATCGGCTCATCCTTTGCAACTTTCGTTGGCCTCGCCCCGCTCGAAAAGCGTGGAAGTTGGCGCCCAAGGCCCTTGCATCCGTATCGCGCATCCGTATGATACAGGTTGGCTAGCCGAGAGGACTCTCTGGGACACTCTTGCGTGTAGCCTTTTGGAAGACGATCAATGGAGAGGAGGCGTGCTGTCAGATAATTTCCCGATGATTAGCACATGTGTGCAACATGTTCTAAGCATGTTTGACACATGTGTTGTACTTGTTTTCTGATGCATTGGATGCACCTTTTAAATCCCATGATCGGGCGGTTAGAGTGGCCATTGGCCTGGCATCGTGTAGCCGAGAGGACCAGTGCCCAGACATGCGACGCCCTGGCTTTCTCAGGACGGCCTCCCCGGAAGTCCCGACCCTGTCCCCGGCGAGGGCCTCTATAGAGGCCGAGAACGGCGAACAACCTCCGGCGAGGAGGACGGGGAGGAAGAGGAGGAGGGGGAGGAAAAGGAGGAGGAGGAGGAGGAGGAGGAGGAGGAGGGGGAGGGGAGGGGAGGAGTGGAGTTGGGGGAGGGAGGAGGAGGGGGGAGGAGGAGGAGGAGGAGGAGGAGGAGGAGGAGGAGGAGTTTCACGACGCGATCCTGTCTGGGTGCGCGTCCCTCGCTCCGTGCCCGTGCGGGCCCTGTCCTCTCCGGCCGTCCCAGTCCGTGTGGGCGGCGGCGCCGCTGCGCCTCGGCGCCCCGGGCCGCGCGCCCCTCTACGGCGCGCTGGCCCGGGCGGCCCGGGCTGGGGCCCGCGGCCTCGGCGCGGATCGGCGGATGCACAGGGTATGGTGACGCCCCCAGACTTGCTCGCGTCGTTAACCTCCTGCTCCTCCTCCTCCTCCCTCCTCCAACCCCGTCCTCCTCCTTCTCCTCTCCCCTCCTCCTCCTCCTCGCCCTTACGACCTCCTCCTCCTCCCCTCCTCCTCCTCCTCCTCCTCCTCCTCCCTCCTCCTCCTCCTCCTCCGCCTCCTCCTCCTCCTCCTCCTCCTCCTCCTCCTCCTCCTCTCCCCCTCCTCCTCCTCCTCCTCCTCCTCCTCCTCCTCTCCTCCTCCTCCTCCTCCCTCCTCCTCCTCCTCCTCCTCCTCCTCCTCCCCTCCTCCTCCTCCTCCTCAGACATGATCGCGTGGTGAAACATGCAGGACGGAGGCTTTTCGCCGTGTTCGGCCTCTATAGAGGCCCTCGCCGTGCCCCAGGACCGTCAGCAAAAGAATTCAGGAGGAAGAACCGGCCTTGGGGAAAGGGTCGAGGCTCCCAGGGAGGCCGTCGTGAAAAAATCAGGACCTCGCATGTCTGGGCCGGGGTGTGGTTTGCGATCGGCACCGTTGGGGCCTGGGGGGCACGACGCTGTCCTCGTCGGGCCTCCTCGGGGCGCGGGAGAACTCCATCGAGGTCCCCGCGCGCCCCCCAGGGTGCCCGCCAGGATGTTCCCCAGGGTGCTGGTTGCAAACCACACCCTTTGCGAACCACACCCTTTGGAGTCGCCGAGCGGACGAGCTCGCGAGCACGGCGTGGGCATTCGCGAAGGTTCGGGGTCACCCTGATCATTGGCTGCCGATTTTTTTCGGTCGCGATCGGTATAGCGACGATCGGCACTCCAAAGCGGTTGCGACTGAGCGCGGCCGCTCGATCGCGACCGATTTTGAAGCAAATCGGTCGCGACCGATACCGAGATTTGAAGCAGGATCGGTAGCGACCGTTCTCCTCGGTCGCGACTGAAATTTTCCAGTATCCACTGATCAGGGCGTTCGCGAAGAGCAGCGGCTCCCGGGAGGAAAATGCACCCATACCCGTACCCAGACCTTCTCGCGGGGGACGGATGGTTTTTCGTTATTTTCGGTTTCCAGGGGCCCTTCCTGGGCCTCGGGAGCGTCAAACAATGATTCAGGAAAGCCGGTCCCCGGGAGGGGGTCCAGACCTTTTGGGGGTCGACGTTGAGAAAAAATGGCGACTTCAGAGGTCAGGGTGCCGCTAATTACCCTCGCCCCGTTTTCCCCTCTGTTTTCGGCCTGGGAGGCCCTCGTCGCCACCGCTGGATTCGCCTCGAAAGCCTGGTCAGAACGCGCCCCGGGAGAGTAGCGGTATCCGTGCCTGTTGTTTTCCCCAAAAGCAGTGGCGAAGCGTCCGGGCTTGCCTAGAAGCCCACCAGAGGATGTTCTAAGAAGCTTTTTTGTGGTTCGCACGACATGTTCTCAGAACATGTTTGGCTGAGACCGTCTTCATTCAACATATCGGCGGCAGTTTCATGAACCTCTGTTTTTTTGAATTGGAGCATTCTTCTGTTCTAAGAGCATGTCGTGGTAGGCCGAGGTAATGCTGGGACGGTCGGTCCCTGCTCAAAAGGTCCTCCACGTGGACGCGGAGCTCTTCCTCGGCGGCGAGCGAGGGGGGGAAGTGAGACGGAGAAGGCCTCCTCAGAAGGCGGCGGAGCTTCTCAGAATCCCCCATCGCGCCTCCTGAGAGGCGTTCTGCGTTTTCGGGGAAGGCCCAGAAAAGTCCTCCGAAGGCCGGGGTACTTCCGAGCCTCCCTCCCGAGAAGGCCCGCCCATTCTCGCCTTCCCCCCCGCGCTCGCCGCCGACTTCCGTGGCCTCGCGCAGGTCGAGGGCGAATAAACACATCCGCAGCCGGAGCCTCGCGGGCCCGGCTCCCTGGCCGCGGCCCCGCGGGTGCGTGGCGGTTTTCCGCGGTGGCCCCGCGTGGGGCGCACCAGCGCGACCGCGTACCCTCGGGATCGCGCCCCAGAGTCCAGACCGCGAGGGCGCGGTCACGGATCTGTTCACCGGTCGTGAGCAGGCGAGCTTGCCCCGGGTGGCCACTCTGAACGACCAGGCGATCTCGAACGTCGCGTGGGCTTTTGCCAGGGCCCGCCACGGCGATCCGGAGCTGTTCGATGCGCTTGCCGTGCGTGCGGCATCCAGGGTCGAGCACTTCACAGGGCAGGCGCTGTCGAATGTCGCCTGCGCCTTTGCCAAGGTGTCTCGGAAGGACGAGCGGCTGTTCGGGGCGATCGCGACAGCCGCTGTCGCTCGGCTGGCCGAGCTCCAGGAGCAGCACATCTCGAACCTGGCGTGGGCGTACGCCCACTCGGGCTGCGCGCGGCCGCCCCTCCTCTTCGACGCGCTGAGCTCGGCCGCGCTGGCGAGGGTGGCGGAGCTGAGCCTGCAGAGCGTCTCCAACGTCGCCTGGGCCTTCGCCGTGGCCGGGCGAGACGACGAGGAGCTCTCCGCGGTCGGGGAACAGTCGGAGGTTGATAGACCTTCTACCATGACACGTCGATTGAGGGATCGGCCGTTTTCGGTTCGCGTGAGGGTGTCGCGGCCGGCATTTTTGCGGGTCCAGGTCCGTCGGTTTCGGCCCTGGCCCGTTTTCACCAAGGGGAGGTTTACTAAAGGGAGGTTTTTTCCACCGCCGACTCTTCGCGGTCGGGGGACACAGCATGGCAGAGACCCGAAACGTGCGGCGGTCCGCGCGGATTGCTTGGATCGGCGCCGGACCCCCCTCCCCAGCGCGCGGAGCGCGCTGGGCGCGCGGAGCGCCGCCAGGGGACTCCTGCGCCCATTCATGAATCCGGACGCCCGACATGGATACGGAAAAAATGGGTACAATGCCCAACAGCAGTTCCTGTTCATTCTGGACAGGGTTCGCTGTCCACGCCGCCGCGGCCTGTGTCCATTCGAGGCAGAAGGCCGCCTGCCCAACAGCGGCCGCTGTTGGTTTGGGACAACATGTGTTGTTGGGCATAATACCATTTTTTCCCGCCCCCATTTCGGGCGTCCAAAACGTCCGCGAGGACCTCTGAAAGCGTACGGTCAAACCGAGGTATAGGATCGAGGTCGGTTCGGGGAGAGTGCCCTGATGTTCTGCGTGTCCGCTGGATATTATGGTGCATCCTTCGGGAGGGGGCAGCCTCGAGTGTGCTTTTCAGTGTTGGCCAGCGGAGGGTCATATTTTCTTGAAGGATGCTCTTCTGTCCTAGGTCCGACTGTGCCGACTCCCGCGCGTGCAGTCGCCGGCGCTGCCAGATGAACGAAAACCTTCCGCGAGAGGAGCTCTTCGCGGGCTTGCCGCGCGCGGCACTGCAGAGCGCCGGTCGCTGCAACGAGCAGGACGCTGGAGGGAAGAAACGCAGATGCAAATAGAATCGTCGGTCCCCCGGAGTAAAAATTGAAAAATTGGAGAAGGGCAGGGGAAAAAAAGCATCCAGAATAGAGGGAATGATTTTGGACTGCTCTCAAAGCGATCCAGAACGCTCTGAGAAGGCCGCGGCGCCCGAGACGTCCTCCAGATCGGCCGGATCTCAAAGATTCTCGATTTTATCCTTACCCGATCTTGTCCTCGCCCTGGTTTTGTCCTAGGCTCGTGCTTTCAAGGCCTCCGACGTCGTGTTTTTTCCACGACGTCGACCCCCAGAGGTCTGGACCCCTTCCCCAAGGACCGGTTTCTCATCCTGCGCCGTTTTTTTTGCCGCTCCCGGGGCCCCACGGAGGTCCCCAGGAGCTGAAATGAGCCAAAAACCTCCCGTCGTGACGTCTTCCCCACGCGAGGAGGTCTGGGTTGTTTCTCTGTGTGTCCCTGGCTTGGCATCGCTCGGACGTGTGCATTTTTTCTCTGCGAAAACCATCGAGGAGCCTCCTGGACCATCGAGCAAAAAAAAAAAAAACACAACAACAAAAAAAAACACGCACGAGATCGACAAATGCACGGGGAATGGACGTCCGAGCGACGGCAAGCTGGGGCCCCTCGAGGACGTCGCCAACCTCGCGTGGGCCTTCGCGCGGGCGCGGCGCGGCGAGGCGCCCCTGTGGGGGGGCCTGGGCGCCGCGGCCCCCGCGCGGCTGGGCGAGGCCACGCCGCAGGCCACGCGGGCCGCACGCCGCAGGGGCCCTCTGCAGGAGGAAGCTTCAGAAATAGCAAACAAAATAGCATGGGGACGACCTCTCTGGCATTTTTAGATTCTTCGTTTCAGCATGTTCTTGAGTCTTTGACATTTCTGTTTCCAGATACCGCCTGCAGGGGGGACACGCCCGACCCAAGCTTGGCCCAAGGGTAGGGGGAGGGTATTGAGCAGGGGCCGACCGTCCCGGCATTCCTATAGGCCTACCACCACATGTTCTTAGAACCGGATCTGCTCGAAACAAAAACCATGCTCTTAGAACAGAGGTCAGACGCGTGAACGCAAAACGGTCTCAGCAGGAAATGATCCAAGAGTCTCTGGTGGGCCCAGGAGGCAAGCCAGGACGCTTCGCCACTGCTCGAGGGTACAGTCGGGGCGCTCAAGAAGGAACCCTTTTCGTTGGGGAGGGGCTCCGTGTTCCTTGATTGTTTCACAGCTTGCCCCAGGTTTTCCACAGGAGTTCGATGGGACATCGAACCTTCACTGATGGGAAAAAGGGGCCTCGTTCCTTATTTAGGGTTCCTTAGGTCAACGCCCCGACTGTAGGGGGAGGGGGGAAGGCTTCTTAGAAGCACCCCCTGCTTCTCAGCAGGCCCGCCGCCCGCGGGCCGCCCGGGCTGCTCCTGGCAGAAGTCTTCCGCCTCGGAGTGCCCGCCCTTCCTTCCTTTCCCCGCGGCCCCCCGTCCCCTCCTTTCAGGAGTGAAAGAAACACACAGACACAATTAATCGACGATTCCCAGGAAAATCTGGGAAAATATGGGAAGTGGGGGAAAGACGAAAACCCAGAAAATATTGAAAATATGGGGAATCTGGTTTTGGGGGTGTATTTATTTGTGTATCCCAGGGCCCCTTTGTCCTTTTCCCTCCGCCAGTTCGCTTTGCAGTGCCCCCGCATCGCTGCCACGCTGGAGCGGATCGCCCCGCCTCGCTGCCGAGGGCAAACAAAACTGCTTCCTGGAAGGCGCGGGCCCCACCTATGGATGCAAGGCCGGCGCCCTCTAAGAAGCAGCCTGCTCCTAGGACGCCTTCCCCCCCTCCCCCTGCCCACCTCGTGCGCGCCGCCAACCTGCGCCAGAGCGACCCCCAGGGGTGCGCGGCGAAGTGCCCCTGGCCCAAGGTGCCCCCCCGAGGATCTCCAAGGAGGCTCCCCGCGGCCCTCACGAGGCCCAGGGGGCCCTGGGGGCTCCGGGCTCCCGAGTGGAGCGCGAAGCTGGGGGCGCCTTGGACCAGGGGCACCTTCAGCAACTCCCGACGGGGGAAAATAGGTAACCATGCCGCGACCGTGAAGTCGGGCATGTTCCCCTGCAGGAGGAAAGCCCAAGGACTGTGAAACAAAAGTCTGGTGATGATGTTTCGTGCTTTTGAATACTTCTGCATTTTTTTTTTACTACTTTGCATGTTTCTTCCAAGATCTGCCTGCAGGAGGACGTGCCCGACCTGACTCAAGAGACCTCACGGTTTTTATCGTCAGAGGAGAGGAAAAAAGAACCAATACCGCTCCCCTTCGCTCGTTTTCTCCTAGTCTGAGCCTCCTGGGACGCCCTCGTCGCCACCGCTGGATTCGCCACGAATCCTGGTCAGAACGCGCCCCAGGAGAGACCCGGGGAGCAGCGGGAGCACCACCTTTTCGTATCCCCAGTGACGGGGTCAATGCAAACAGGGGTCAGTTAGAGCGCCGGATCTCGCAGGATCTTGCAGGGCCAGGGTTGCATTGACTTGGGCTTGGGCGCAGGATCCTGCAGGATCTTTCAGGATCGTGCAAAGCCCGACTGGCCCAAGTCTGGATTGACCCAGGTCAGTAGATCCCCGGGCGGCCTTTTTCGGCTGCGCGTAACCCAGAACCCCTCGCGTGGTGAAACACTCAAGACGGGAGGTTGTTCTACATGTTCGGCCCCCGTGGCCCTTGCAGGGCCTCGGGAACTTCCAACAACGATTTCTGGATGAAAAGTGGGTCCCGGGGAAGAGGTCCAGACCTTTGGGGGTCGGCGCTGTGAAAAAAGCACGACGTCGGGGGTATGGGTAGGCCGTTTCCCCGAACGGAAAAAGCGACCCGTCGCAGCCTGGTCGGAAGTGGCGAGAACGCAAAACCTTTGGACATCTTATGAGTGTGCCAGTATTGGGCTCTCCCTTTGTGGTTTTTGGTATTTCAGTGTCTTCTTGGGGTCGCCTACGACCCTGGGGGCAAACCGTGGAGGTCTGGGAAGAGCGACTCTTCTAGGGGGCCACATGCGAACCCTACCCCTGCCCCCCCACGATTTCTGAGGGGGAGGGTGGGGTTCACTTCGTGCGGGAGCTCCCGAGCGAAGTGAGCCCCACCCTCCCCCTCAGAAACCGTGCGGGGTAGGGGTAGGGTTCGCATGTGGCCCCCTATCTTCGCCAGAAGTTGCCTGCCGGTGCGCTGCCGTTTTTGGGGGGGGCACTGCGGTGCCAGGCCCAGAGACACGGGCCGCCACAGTCGCCCAGCACGCAACGCTGGGTAAAATCCGCGCGCCAGAGGTCACTCCTGCGACCAGCTTGAAGCATATCTTACCAGCCTCGAACGTATCCCTATCCCTAAGATTGACACGCCAAAAGGCGATGACAATCTTAGAGATTCGCCCTCAAAAAATAAGGGGATCCCTAAGATTGGCATCGTGATGAGGAGATGCCCAGCATAGGGATAGGGATATGTTCCAGGCTGGTAATGTTTTAGCCGCCTCGATACGACCGTTTTGAAACGCAGCACGTGCCGTGTTCAAGACGTCCGTGTTCACACGCTGCGTGTCGGCTCAGCGTATTGGCTCACGTCTTGGCGACCGTATCGCGCTACACCTACGTTTTTAGTTTACGTGTTCAATACGCTACGTGTTGCGTGTCGGGTATCGGGGCAGCTAGGACCCCTATTCCCTGTGTTAGGCATCACCTCACCTCGATGTCGATCTGAAGGATAACCTCAGTTTCTGAGGGCACATCCCTAAGATTGTCCTCGTTTTTTGTTCACCCATCTTAGGGGCAGGGATCAGTTCGAGGCTGGGCATCTTGCCCAGGGGCACTCCAGCGGCTGGAGCAGCTGAACAGGGCGCGCGCCACCGACAGCAGACACATACGACGAAAACATTAACAACAATACCAACAGCAACAACAGCAGCAACAACAATAGCATAAACAGCAACAGCATCAGCAGCAACAACAACGACGACAACAGCAACAACAGCAACAGCAACAGCGACAGCAGCACCATCAACAACCACAACAATAACCACAGCCACAACAGCACAAACAAAACCAACTACGACTTCACCAACAGCAGCAACAACAGTAGCAGCAACGGCAACAGCAACAGCAAACGCAACAACAACCACTACTCGTGCCAAAAAGAGATCCTGGGGTATAGGTGATGTCGACCTTCGGGGGACCTGAGGCGCCCCAGGGCTCCTGCGGGCCCCTGGGGCCCTCGGGGGGGAGATTGCCGCGGGGCACCATCTGGCGCGCTGCTTTCTTATTGTTACGTCGGGCATGTCCCTCTACAGGAGGAGTATGAAAAAATAGTCAGAAGAATAGTCAGGGGACGGACGATTTCTTCCGTATGTTTGGTTTTTGCTGGACTGTGTCTTGGCTATCTCGGCGTTCGTCCCAAAGCCGCCGGTAGGAGGACAAGCCCGACCTAATCTCACTTCAGTCGGGGGAGCGTAAGACCCGGGTTTGCCAGGACTCGGGTTCGCCATCGTTTTTTGACGACCGCGCCTCGGATTTTGACGAGGAGGAGTTTCGTGGGATGTCTGCAGCGGGAGGCCTCGTCAAAATGCAGGCTCGGCCTCGTCATTTTTTTGACGACCTCGTCGGGGATTTCCGAGTCCCCCGTACCCGGGTCTTACGTCTCCCCGATTCAGGTGTGCCTAGTGTATCAAGGGGCCACTCTTGCGTGCAGCCCGGCCGTCAGCAACCTGGCGTGGGCCTTCGCCGAGCTCGGCGGCCTGTCGGGCCGGGGGCGCTCGGGACTCCGGCGGGCGCTCGCGGCGGCGGCACGGCGGAGGGCGGGGGAGTTTTCCCCTCAGGCGCTCTGCAACAGCGCGTGGGCATTCGCGGGCCTCGCCCGGACACCCAGGGGCCGCGCGCATCATCAGCATCATCATCAGCATCATCATCATCATCATCATCATCATCATCATCATCATCATCATCATCATCAGGATCACCATCTACGATTACCATCATCGTCACCACCACTACCACCACCACCACCACCACCACCACCACCACCATCGTCATTACCACGGTCACCACCACCACCTATCAGCACATGCATCACCCTCATCATCACCACCATCATCAGCGACGGACTCCTAATTAGCAGCATCATCTGCCTCATCATCATCATCATCATCATCATCATCATCATCATCACCAGCAGCAGCAGCAGCATCAGCAGTATCATCGTCATCATGGATATCATCATACGTATCGTCAACACCGCCACCACCATACTCATCATCATAGTCATCATCATCAGCAGCAATATCATGATCATCGCCATCAGCGTCAATCTTATACGATTTGTATCGTCATTATCATCAGCAGCATCATCATTCTCCGTATTACCATCAGCAACATCATCATCGCCATCAGAATCATCATCATCTTCATCATCAGCAGCAGCATCATCACCACCACCACCACTCTCGTCCTCTCCACACCCCGCCCGTCCGTCCCTCATTCGCCCACCGTCCCACCCTGCTCTCTTCTCCCTGTCTCCCCGGTGTCTCACAGTCGCTCCTTGCTCTCCCTGCTGCCCAGGCTGTTCCTCCTTGCTGTCCCTCGGCCCTCTCGTTCCTTTCCTGCCGCTTTGGTCCATCCCGCATGTACTGCCACCAGCCCCTCCCCCCGCCCACCCCTTCATCCCTATTTGTTCGCGGTCGCTAAGCCCTGCCCTCCCTCTACCCCCTCTCCCCATTTCTGCGGTCCTCGCTCCTTGTCGCCTTGATCCCGCTGAGCTCAGCCGCCAAACCTGCCGTGAGACTCCTGCGTGCGTCCCCACGCGCATCTTAGCTCACCGTCCCCACGTCTCAAGGTTTGCCTCACCGGTACGGTTGGCCCCGATCTCGGCAAACATTGAACATGTGCTCCATGTTCCATTTGGCAAGGAAGAGCGAGGCCAATGGATTCACACGGTGGTTCAAACGGACCTACCTCGGTGCGTTGCGTTGCGCGTTAGCATGAGCCCAGCGCGACTCAGCCATGTCGATTATCGCCGCATCTCATGAGTTGCATGCGTCCTCTCTGCAAGGAGTTGCAGCGTGCCCTCATGACCCTCTTTGCCTAGGTTGCTCACTCTTACTTGGCAGCATGACGCCTCAGCCGCTCGCCGTTGCTGCAACCCCGAGCAGCCCCTTGCCAGGAGTGGCCACCGCGAGACTCGCCTTCGACTGCAGCGCAGAGTCTCGGGAGGGCTCGCCCACTGCCGAGCTGGTCATGACCGTCCCGGCACAGGCGGCGCGGTCTCGTCGCTAGAGAGGACACTGTTGGGGTAGTACAAGAGGAGGAGGAGGAGGAGGAGGAGGAGGAGGAGGAGGAGGAGGAGGAGGAGGAGGAGGAGGAGGAGGAGGAGGAGGAGGAGGAGAGGAGGAGGAGGAGGAGGAGGAGGGAGGAGGAGGAGGAGGGGAGGAGGAGGAGGAGAGGGAGGAGGAGGAGGAGGAGGAGGAGGAGGAGGAGGAGGAGGAGGAGTTGTGCGCGAGCACAAGGTCAGATGTCTGCTTGATGTTGCAGAAGCTTTGCGCAGCGCGGGTGTAGTCACGTCTTGTTTTCGAGCATCGAGTTGTCCAGCTGCGCTGCCGAGCACATCCGCCACCCCACTGTTGGGTGGACAGGGGGTGGCTCAGCCACTCGCTGCTCCAGCCAAGCGTGCCGTTGGCGACAAGGGGCCGATCCGACCAGCCGTTTTGGACCCGGTGGGGCCGCGACCTATTGGAGCGCCCAACCACCAGGAGAAACATACTGATTTGGCCGCGAGAAGGCACAAGTCAGTCTGTTTCTCCAGGTGGTTGGCAAAGTTTGGCCTCTTGGGAGGGGGCGCGGTTGTCAGGGCCTACCCCTTCTGTCATCGATGGCCTCCCAGATGGCCCCAAGACGGCCCAAAGAGCCTCCACGAGAGCCCCGAAAGAGGCCTCTAGAAGAGGCCCCCCCCCCGAGCAGGGTCAAAGTCGTGAGGCCGCAAGCCCGCCCCGGCGGGATTTCTGCTTGCAGCCTCATCTCCTTTTGCTTTGGTAGGTCAGGAAGCGACAGTAGAGGCCCAGTCCAGGATCTCTTGGCTTTCTTGGGTTTCGATGGTTTTGCTGTGGGAGGCGCGACGTCCCCACACCAAGAATCATGAACGTCTTGGTGTCTCAGGGTTTCTTGTGGTTTGGCCTCCTCTGTAGGTCAAGCAGCTAGGGACCTGGAGCAGCACACGGATCCTTGGTAGCCTCGACGAAAGGGCGGGACCGACAACTGGCCCAGAAGGAGCTCGAACAGACCAGGGGGCCCAAAACACTCCAGCCGTGGCACATCGCGTCGGCGGATGCTTGTGCACGACACCATGCTCCAACGAGGGGCGATGTTGCGGTTCAAGCGTGCCACGGTTGACCGAAAAGCGGTGTAGGTAGTGTTGTTGACGGGGGGGTGCAAAGCCTAACGTAGCCATGTTGATGTAAAGTGATAGCATCAAGACGCTGGTGCACGAGAGCACGCCGAAATGAGCGGCGATGGTGCGCTCTAGCATAGACCAAAGCATCGCACTGGTGATGCTATTTTGGGGCGGTGTGCCAAATCTTCGCTGCCATCACGGTCATGCTCTTGCATATGAATAATGCTCACGTGGCCAATTCGAGCAATGGTCGTTGTTGCGTTTCGAGTTCCCGCTGCGAGTTGAGACCCCATCACTTTTCTGTTGGAGGAGGGGGGTGGCGCGCGTCGAAAACTTGTGCATCAATAGGCGTTTTGGCTCAAGCTGATCCTGTCTCAGGCCCACTGTGGAGGCGGCCGTCCTTGGTCTTCCCCCCGCTCATACGCAGAGGGGTGGAGGATCATGCAGCGCCTGTTCGGGAGAGCGAAAGAAGAGCCCGTGAAGGCCCCCGCGCCCACCTTGCAGGAAGCATCGGCCAAGATCGATGCCCAGATCCAGGGGCTCGAGGAAAAGATCATTGCCGCGGAGAAGGAGGCCAGGGAACACGTGGCAAAGGGGGCGGCCAACCCCATGGCGAAGCAGCGCGCCCTGCAAGCTATGAAGAAGAAGAAAATGTACGAGCAGCAGAGGGACCAGCTGCTGGGCACGCAGTTCAACGTGGAGAACCTGGCATTCCAGCAAGAGCAGGCCGAGGTCACCATGACGGCCGTGGAGGCCATGAAGGCCGGCCAGGAGCAGCTGAAGGCCGCCACGGGGAAGATCAACGCCAGCACGGTGGACAAGCTCACGGACGACATGGCCGACCTGCAGGACGAGATGAAGGAGATCCAGAGCGCCCTCGCCGCGAGCAGCCTGGGCATCGACGGCGCCGACGACGCGGAGCTCGAGGACGAGTTCGCGAAGATGGAGGAGGAGATGGCCATGATGGCGCTGGCGGGCGGCGGCGCCTCGGCCGCCGCGCCCGCCGCGGCCTCCGCCGCGCCGGTGGCGCCCGCGGCGGCGGAGCCCTCGCCCCTGGCGATAGCGAGCGCCCCGCCGGCGTGAGGCCGGCGGCCGCCGCGCGCGAGGGGGGGCAGCCCTCCGCGGGCGGCCTCGGCGCGGCCGCGCGCCCGGGCAGGGCTCGTTTCGACTCCTTGGATTCGATTCGATTCGATTTCGATGGCTTCCGATTCCGATTCGATTCGACTGGGGATTCCGATTTGGGTTCCTGTTTCCTATTGGAGGCATACTAGCCTGCCGATTTCTGCCGATTCGACTTTTCCCGGCTCGGCTGCCGATTTCCGCCGATCCGACTCATGTCGACTTCCGATCCGACTTGTCGATTCGATTTTGGGCTCTCCTGCCCGGGGTGTCGTCGGGCCGCCGGGGGCGGGAGCCCTCGTGCGTTGGGGAGGGGCTCGGCGTTCCTGCATTCAAGCAGTGGCGGAGCGTCCCGGCTCGCCTATAGCCCCCCCCAAGCAATGTTCTAGGAACCTTTTTTTGTGGTTTCCGCGGAATGTTCTCAGAACATTTCTGGCTGGGACTGTCGTGTTTGAACAACTCGGGTTGATGTTCTAAGAACATTATTTTGGTTATTAGATCATTTTTTGGTTCTAAGAACATTTCGTGGTAGGGCTATAGGAATAGGAATGCTGGGACGGTCGGTCCCTGCTCAATGCATCGTTGTAAGTACAGTTTCGTCTTGGGTTGTCCATGGGTCTTCTCTGGGGAGTCGCAGTTCGACTCTGATGGAAAGGAGAGCCTCGTTCCTTTTTTGTTTCGGGTTTCTCGTGGCGGCGTTTCGACCGCAGCCCTGTGCTGGAGTGACCTCTGCCGGCGGCGTGCACAGGAGGACAGCAGAGGAAGAGTTACCGATGCCGCTGCCCTTCGACCGTATTCGCCTTGTCGCGCCTCCTGGAAGGCCCTCGCGGCTGGCTCTGCTTCGGAATGCTGGTCAGAACGCACCCAGGAAGAGGTTCGAGGAGTAGCGGCATCGATATCTTTGGTTGTTCCCAGCAGTTGGGGGAGCGCGAGGGGGTTGGCCTTCGGAGGAGGCGGGGGGGGGTCCTGAACGCATCGAAGAAAGTCCCCTATCAACATAAGTTTTCGGCGATCCGTGCGGATTTCTTGGATTCGCGCGGATGTCGTCGGGCACCCCCCCGGCGGTGCCTCCGGCGCCGCCCCTGGCGCGCTCCGTGCGCCCGGGAGGAGGGTCCGGCACGGATCCAAGAATTCCGCCCGGGCGTCCAAGAAGTCCAAGATGTTCATATGGGATTTTTGTTCCTCGAATGCAACCCTGATCACTGGATACCAATTTTTCTCGGTCGCGATCGGCAGCGACCGATCGGCACTCCAAGTCGGTCGCGACCGGTCGCCACCGATCCCAAGATCGGTCGCGACCGGCCGCCACCGATCGCGACCGATCGGTCGCGACCGATTTTGAAGCACATCGGTCGCAACCGATACCAACATGTGAAGCCGAATCGGTATCTACCGTTCTCGTTGGGCGCGACTGGGAAATTCCATTATCCAATGATCAGGGAAGGGGGGGTCTTCTCAGAAGCGCCGGGGGCCATCTCAGGACGAAGAGGAGGAGGAGGAGGAGGTGGGGGAGGAGGAGGCGGAGGAGGAGGAGGAGGAGGAGGAGGAGGAGGAGGAGGGGGAGGAGGAGGAGGAGGAGGAGGAGGGGGAGCAGGAGGAGGAGGAGGAGGAGGAGGAGGAGGAGGAGGAGGAGGGGGAGGAGGAGGGGTCGCTCCCATTTCGAAACCAGCGAGGACCTGAGGCTAGCATTCCCTGGGAGCCGCACGCAGGTATCAGAGGGTCGTTGGCATCGAAACGATCCGAGGGCCGCGCCTTCTTCCGCCGTTGAGCCATCCTGTGGCTGTGCTGGGGCGGTGATGGGGCCCTCGTGGGGCCCCTCGAGGGCACCTTCGAGCAGGGGAGTCTGAATGCATCAGAGGCATCGACGAAAGATAATACATACCCCCCAAAAAATAGTCGGGGGACTATTTTTGGAATATGTTTTGACCTTCTGGGGGCATGTTTGGAGTATTGAAAAAACATGTCCTCGAAGATCCCCTTGTAGGGGGACAGGCCCGACCTAAATCTTGGGCCAGCTCGTGGGCCTCTTTGGGCCACACTGGAGAGGCACACCTTACCAGCCTCGAACTTATCCCTATCCCCAAGATTGGCACGCCAAAAGGCGATGACAATCTTAGGGATCCGCCCTCAAAAAACAAGGGAATCCCTAAGATTGGCATCGTGATGAGGAGATGCCCTGCATAGGGATAGGGATATGCTCCAGGCTGGTAAACACCCTGAGGCAGACGTCGGCCTCGCGGGGGCCCCCCGGGCCTCGTGGCGTGGCGCCCGCGGGGCAGAGCCGTGCTGCAGCCCGAGGGGCACGACCACTCCTCCGCCTCCTCCTCCTCCTCCTCCTCCTCCTCCTCCTCCTCCTCCTCCTCCTCTCCTCCTCCTCCTCTCCCCTCCTCCTCTCCTCCTCCTCCTCCTCCTCCTCCTCCTCCTCTCCTTCCTCCTCCTTCTCCTCCTCCTCCCTCCTCCTCCTTCCTCCTCCTCCTCCTCCTTCTCCTCCTCCTCCTCCCTTAACGTGTGGGACACCTGTCTGTGTGTTTCGGCCCAATGTCTTAGTTGTTGGCCCCGATGTTTTAGTTCCCCCCCACCAGCTGTTTTGCCTGATGAATTCGTTGGTCCCTTGTCTTTACTTCGGGCCCGATGTCTGAGCGTTTGGACCCGATGTCAGATTTGTCGGGCCCGACGCCCGCGACAGGAGCCGCATGCGTCCCCGCGCGCGCTTCGGCACGAAACCCCCCGCACGCCTCGCGGCCACATGGGAAGCTCCACCGAAACCTTGCCCACAACGCGGCGCCCACAACTGCAGATGGCTGGGCTCTACCGCCAGGACCTGTTTTTTGTTGGGGGCCGAGTGCCCTTGGTAGACAGTAGGGAAGAAACATACAGGGAGAGGCAAGGGGCACAATATCATAATTGGCAACACAGAGACCACGTGGTAGCAGTCCAGCAGCCAAGCTCACGGTCTGGCGCACCCAAGATGGGCCAGCGGATTTAATGCGTCGTGCGGTCTTCCCTCGAGGGAGAACACAGCTACATAAGCATTAGCTCGCGGAGGCCCGCGAGGAGTTCTTGGATTGGGCCTCCGCAGGGTTTAAGTGATATAGCTGCTTCTTGCCCGATTGCCATGAGCCGATCTTCCGAATGGTCAACCTCCTGGCAAAGTCGGCGCACGGCATTCTGCACCGTGGTCGGTTGGCCCCGCTGAGGGCCAGAGGTGGTCTCGAAGACCGCCCAACTTACACCGTGCCCCTCTACCAGCACGGCCTGCCGGCTCTGACCATTTCTGTCGGATTGCCATGAGGTAGACGGGTCCTGAGGGAAGCGGGTCCTGAGATTTTCTGACCAGCCTGAAGCATATCTAGATCCCGATGATTGGAATCGCGCATCCCGATGCCGAGTTAAAGGGTTACCTCGCTTACTGAGGGCGCATCCCTAAGATTGGCACCGCCTTTGGGCTTGTTAGCCTGAGGGATCAGGATCAGCTCGAGGCCAGTCAGGTTATGTTTTTTTGGTTCGAGCTCAGGTGGCCCCCACTGGCCTTGGGACTGTGACAGCAGCCACTCGCGATGAAGAACTGATCCCAGGAGAAACCCCCGGGGTCTTGGACTTTTTCGGTGGCCTCCAGGCGGCGGGTGATGGCCAGGAAGGGGTGCATGCCATGGCGGGGGCCAACCTGCCTCCCCTGACCTCGTGGCCCCCCGATTGCCCTTCCAATGCGTCTCTTTGGTCCCCGCCTCGTCCGCACACGTGCCGCGGGCCATGTTTTGCGATCCCCCCCTCTCGGACGACCCCCTCGCGGCCGCCCCGCGTCAACCCGTAGCCGCGCGAACGGCGATGCAGGTAACGGCGATGTAGGTTTCGGCATTGTGGGCGGGACTGTTCCGTGGCCCAAAATTGTAGGACATCGCGGTTCGTGCTTTCCTACAATTCTCTGCGTCGTCTTCGCTCGATGCATTCGCACATCTGAAGTGTAGGACACAGCACCTCGTGATGTCCTACATTTTGCTCTGGGCGAGCTCGGTGTCACAAAGGTCATATTCCCGACATCGCCCTTAACCAACATCGCCGTCAGCGCGGCCGTTGGGGCCGCCCCCGCGTCAACGTCGGGACCCGCTCCCTTCGTGCCAAGCAGGGGCAGCGCAGCCCTCCGCTCGGCCAGGCCGACCACGGTCCTTGGCCCGCATGGCCTTCGCCTCAGTTTCACGCTCGCTGCCGGCCGCGCGCCCCTCCCCGCCAGGGAGGCGCTCCGCTTCCCCTGCCGCCCGACGAGGCGACTGCACAGAGTTCGGCGGCACCACCGCTGAGCTAAGAAGGGCAGCAACATGCAGGGGAGGCAGAGGAGGAGGCGGAGGAGGAGGAGGAGGAGGAGGAGGAGGAGGAGGAGTGGGGAGGAGGAGGGGGAGGAGGGGGAGGGAGGAGAGGAGGAGGAGGAGGAGGAGGGGGAGAGGAGGAGGAGGGGGAGGAGGAGGGAGGAGGGGAGGAGGGGGGAGGGGGGGAGGGGGAGAGGTGGAGGGGGAGGAGAAGGAGGAGAAGGAGGAGGACGATGATAGGAGGAGGAGGAGGAGGAGGAGGAGGAGGAGGAGGGGGGGAGGGGGGGGGGAAGGGGAGGAGGAGGAGGAGGGAGGAGGAGGAGGAGGAGGGAGGAGGATGGAGGGGGAGGAGGAGGATGGAGGAGGAGGAGGAGGAGGAGGAGGAGGAGGATGGAGTAGGAGGAGGAGGAGGAGGAGGAGGAGGAGGAGGAGGAGGCGATACCAATACCGCCACTCGAGGGCCAGGTCATCGAGGAGCACGGCGCGTCGAGGCTTTATTCTGCGCCGTGTGGGCCTGCCAACCCTTCCGGGTGGTGGTGGTAAGCCTTCCCCCCTGTCTGCATTGGAGGCCCATGCCTCCAGGGTGCCCTGGGTTTCTTGGGCTTCGATGGTTTTACGACACAAAGAGTGGCGTCCCCACGCCAGAAATCAATGGACGTCCTGGGATCTCAGGGTTAGGCTTCTTGTGGAAGGTTTTTTTGTGGAATGACCTCCACTGTACCCGAGTGGGCTGAACCGGGGCGAGGGGGAAACGCCAGAGTTACATACCCGGCAGGCCATATTCGGCGAGGGCCAGGCGTTCCAGAAGCAGCCTTGCCTTCGAGGATCGAACGAGTTGTCATCTCTTCCGCCGCGGAAGGCGGCGGAAGGTCGGCGGAAGTAAAACGAGGCCGCCTCCGCCGGCGGGACCCGGCGGAAGCTCGGCGGGAGGCATCGGAAGAAAACAAACGCGTCCAAGAGGTGAAACCATATTTGGGTTCATGGTTTCCCACATCCGCCATATAGAGGATAGGAAGTGCACCAGACGAGCCATGTACAAGACAGGTCATGCACGAGGCAGTTCAGTGGAAAGCACGAGTCGACAATTCAGGTGTGTTTTGCGGCAGGAGGAGAGAGTGGAGAACACACGTATGCGTTTGAGGCCCATCGCCTGACCGTGTGCACCACGGTGCTGTTCCAAGTGACATGTGAGCAGTTAGGCTGGATTCCAGATCTCAAACAGGGGCGGCAGGGTCAGTAACGGATGTTGGATATTTTTGGTTTCTGGAAGAGTTTTTGGAGTGGTGTTTCCAGCAAGTCTTTCCAACTTCCCAGAGTGGACATACATAAAATTGGGGGATGTTTTTTGGGGTCATGATTTTTCCCCAAGAGATATGTTTCTCCTAAGATCTCTGGCAAAGGTCCCCCAACGAGGGCATGGTTGGTCTTGGACGGCATGATGGCGGCCGTGGGGGAACCAAACGAAATCACGTTTAGCAGGACGATGCAAGCGGCCTGGAAGTGCACTGACCCCGAACAGAGCCTCAGCATTTGCGCCGAGATGGAGAAGGACAGCGTCGGGCCCAGGAGGTGCGCGCTCGCACACGAGTCCGGGAAAGCTTGCTGGACGAACCGGCCTGTGTCCCGCACGGTGGAGGCGATATACGCGCCATGAGGGAGCGGTGCAGGCCGCCCAGCACAGCTGCGCGCTCGGGTGTCCTGAGTGTACGCGCCTCGTTCGCGCTGGGGAGCGACCGCGCGGAGGGCGCGCGCCGGTTGAGGCGCGGGCGAGCCCGTGCGGCCCCGGGGCTCGAGGGCCTGCTTGCCGAACGCCTTCGCGGCCTGCAACGCCCGGAGCACGGCCTGTCAAGCAGTGGCGAAGCGTCTGGGCTCGCCTATGGCCCTACCCAAAAATGTTCTTGGAACCTTTTTTGTGGTTTCCACGAAATGTTCTTAGAACATTTCTGGCGGAGTCTGTCTTGCTTGAACACATCGGGTTTGTGTTCTGAGAACATCGTTTTTCTTCTTAGAGCATTGTTGGGTTCTAAGAAAACATTTCCTGGTAGGACGATAGGAAAGCCGGGACGGGCGGTCCCTGCTCAGCGGCCCGCTGCAAGCGCGGTGCACCCGTCGGCGCGCCGAGGGCGTTGGCAGAGGCGAGGATGCGTGGGCCCCCGCCGAGCGTCGCCTCAAGGGCTCCCATGAGGGCGCGAAGTTATTCGCGCTTCGCGGTCCTCGTTCCTTCTCCCCCTCCTCCTCGTCCTCCTTTTCTCCCTTTGAGAGGCGGCGCGAGGGCGCGAAGTTATTCGCGCTTCGCGCTTCGCGGAGCGCGAAGCGCGAAGTTGGGAGCCCTAGCGCCTCTGGCACGAGCCGCACCTGTGCCTGCGAGGAGAGCCGGGCGCCCGGGATCGGGCTGCAGCTCTTCCAGGAGAGGCTCGGGGCGGGCCTGCTCCGGGGCGCCGTGCCCCCGCAATTGTGCCATCCGCTGTCGTGAGCAGCTGCGCGGCGCGGAGGAAGCCACAGCGATGCTCGAGAGGATGAAGGCGATGCAGGTGACCCTCGACGAGAGCAGATCCACGTCTGCGTCAAGTGCAAGTGGTGCGACAGAGACGCGGACCTGTCCAGGGAGATGCAGGACGTCGGTCTGACGCCCAATCCCTACGCCTACGATGGTGCCATTCCCGCTCTGGGCAACGCGAAGCGCGGGCGAGGCGCCCTGGACCTCTTCAGCAGCATGAAGGATGCGAAGGTCGTGCCCGACGTGCTCACGTACACCGTCATACTCGGTGCTTCTGAGAAGCGCGTCCGGCCTGACATGGAGGCCAGCGGTCCCTTGTATTTCCCTCGTATTGCGCTGATCAGCTGCTGGGGCAAGAGCAAGACGCCAGAGAGGGACATGAGACTGCTGAACGAGATGCAATCGAAAGGCTGGGCTCCGAACGCCGTAACCTACAGCACGTTGACGCGGGCGTGCGAGAGGTTTGGCGACAGGGTCAACATGTTCAAATGAAGGAGGAGGAGGAGGCCGAGTCGCAGCGCCAGTAGTTCAGCGTGAGCGATTGGACACATTGCTAGAGGTTGGCGGGCCAGCCTGTCTTCCATTTCAGCGCCAAGTATGGCGGACCGTCTGACCTCGTGGGAGCATACTCCAACCCAGGGTAGGCTATCCCCTTGAAGCAGCTCGCCCAACGAAGCTACTCGTCAGTGCTAAGCCGATCGGAGGACGGTCCTGAGATGATTCATCTCCCCTGCACTTCCCTGAGCGTATGCCAGAGGATGGTCCAAGACGCTCGAAGCGAAACGAGCTTGTACCCCCACGTCTGTATTGGGCACTGCTGCCTTCGGGTCAGAAAACCTGATATGACTGATGCAGGACATCCTCATGCTCGTCTTCTTCCCGTTACCTTCGAAATCGGCCTTCCCTCCTCGTGGCAATGATGTTTCCAATGTTGCTGATCCCGTTGCTAATACTTGCTTGTTGATCATTGTCATATTTCTCCTCGTTCTCGTTCACGTTCGGTTCCCTTTCCTACCGCGCTGCTTCCTCCCCCCACCCCCCTTAAATAGCATAGCCGAGCTGTCCCGCTCATCCAGGTCCTTGAGGTCACCATCCTTGGGCTGAAGCTTCTCGTCGTGATTGTGTTTATCCTCGGTGAGTTTGTCCTGTTCGTTCTAAGTGGTCCTCGACTCTCTCCTCGTCCATTATGTCATAGTGTTACGTGTTGCACATATCTTCTTTCATGTTCATGTCGTTTGATTCCCGAAGCCAGTCCTATGGCCGCTGGCACTTTGATTACCACGCCCTCCCTGACCCTCCCGACACCGCTCCCGACTTACACGAGAAATCATGACACCGAATATGGAGCTCACATTTACAAAGGAGCCAGAGAAGGACAGCCAAGGAAACCTCAGCGCACAACGAAATGCGGCACCACGCACATCAGCGCCGTGCAGTGCGGCAGTGCGAGGGATAGTGTTTCTCGTGTCATGGTCGTTGGCAGTTTGACCCCCCATTGAACCTTCCCAAACTAGTTCCGACTCGCACGTGGAATCCAAACGTCGAGTTTGCGCAGCGAATTGCGGCACAACAGAGCGCAATGCAACAAACGTGATGTTCAGAAAACGCAATGTCTAACACACCACAAGTAAACAATAACCATGGTTCTTCTGACCAAGCTGGTTAATGCTGTTTGGCACCGCATCCTCCCTGAACCTAACCGCATCTATCCCGACGCACACTCGTAATCCCAACCTCGAGCTGACAAAGCCAACCGCAGCGCACTAACAGCGAGAGGCCTACGACGTTGCAGCGCACCAGATAGTGGCAACAACACAGGGCACGGTGCTTCTAAACGGCGGTCGGCGCTTTGGGAACCGGACCAGCACGTCTCCCGATTCATACGCGGCACCCTCAGCTTAGGCTGAAGCAGCCCCTCGCCCCAGAACAACAAGCGATGAGCCGCAGCACAATGCCACTATGCGTACAGGAACTGTGTTTCTGTCATCACGGTGGGTGGCTCTGTGGGTACAACACCTTCTCTGAATGTCCGCTAGGCGTCTCCCAGCTCACGCGCGAAGTTTGGAATCCTAAGCTCAAGTGCAAAAATGGATGCCAAGAGCAACCAAACATTGCATAGCAAACATATTTGCAATGCGACACAAGGCGGCGCTTCTGGTCACGATTACGTTCGTGCCGAGTGCCACACACACCCCTGAACCTCCTCAAACCCTTCGCGACTGACACGCGAAGCCTGGAATCCAAAGGTCAAGGTCAGCCACGCAGAGTTACCTGAAGCCATGTTGCAGCCATCTTGGTTCAACAGCCTTCACATGATGCCCCTGATCTGTCAACAGCCGTCAAGCCGTAAAGTCTGTGTGCATCTTTATGTAATATAATGTATATGCGTATGCGCACGTAGAAACATACATGTATCAGCAACTTGGAGCGCAGGGGGGCTTCTGTCAGCCCCCAGGTCGGAGCCCTAACACAATTTTTTGGGGGCGTTCTTGGAGTGCTCTTGGAGCAGTCTTGCCCCTCTTGGGCCTCTCTTTGGCAATGTTGGAGCCATCCTGACCCCCCAAATGCCAGTCGGGAGCGGAAAGGCGAGACGGCACAGACCATTGAGTTCCAAAAGGTATGGGACAGATTTTAACCTCCTGGGGGCGTGCTTCGGAAGTTCCGTGGCCATGTGAAGCTGATGTATGACAGTCTTGGGTTTCTTGGAGGCATGTTGGAGGATATCGTGAACCATTTTGGGCTATACTGTGCAATCTTGGAGGAAGAACATCCTGGGCTATCTGGAACCCTCTTGGGACCATCTTGGCGATCACAGACGCAGGTCTGGACCAAAACGCTGTTTTGCTGGATTTCGGCTGTGTTTTGTTCTACGTTTTGACAGGGAGGTGCAGGAAAACAGGGCGAGCACAACGAACAACAAAACGACAACAAAACGAACGACATCCAGCCCTGCTCAGACGCTCCCACCGCTCGCGACCCCCCCCGTCCAGACCTGGGGTATATAGTAGGGGCATGGGCAAATTTCCCGAAGGGGACGAAAAGGGCTGGAAGAGCGAACTCGTTAAACCATTCAAGGCCCAACGGGCTGGCGGGACTAATCGAGCGTCTCCGCTCGATTCTCTTTTTGCACGTCGGCCAGACATCAGGGCCGAAGACGGACGGGCGATGGCGGCGGCGGATCAGCAAATGGTCAGAGCTCGAGTTCCGCAAATGCGGATGGACCGCTGCGCGCATGGGCGCACTGGGGGCCCTACGATGTCTCATGCAGCGTGCATCCCCCGTGCGCTGCCGTATGTAGGCTGTCCCGTTCTGGACCGACGAGGAGGACGAGGAGGGGGAGAGGGAGCAGGGGGACGAGGAGGACGAGGAGGGGGACGAGGAGGACGGGGAGGACGAGGAGGGGGACGAGGAGGACGAGGTGGACGAGGAGGACGAGGAGGGGGAGGGGTGAGAGGGAGCAGGAGCACGCCGCAGCCGCACTGGCAGGGCCGGGGCTCGCCTCCCAGCCCGCGCGCGCGCCGGAGCGCGGAGACTCCGCGAGGAGATGGCGGCCCAGGGCGAGGCCGCGGAGGCGGCCTCGGGGAAGCAGCAGCAGGCGCCGCCGAAGCGGGCGCAGGCCTCGCTGGCGGAGAAAGTCGGGCTCAAGTCCAACAACAACATTGCCAACATAAACAGAGTCAACGAAAAACAATGTTCTACCTAAGAGCCAAATAAAAACAAAGCAAACGCACACAAACAAACGATCAACGGACGTCTGCGCGGGGACGTCAGGGTTCCCGAAACAAAAGTTGTTTATGTTGGGAAGTCGTCGGGGATCTGCTGGCCTGGTTTAGAATCCCGGCCCGGGTCCGTCGGGCGTTGCAGGATCCTGCCGGACCCTCCACGCAGGCCCGGGTGCATGCACCCCTTTTGCTCTCCAGGATCCTGCAAGGTCTGGCGCTCTGGCTCACCACCGTGTGCACGGACCCCGTCTTGTGAGCCCCGAAGTCGGAGGTCGGTTTTGCAGGATCCTGCGGGATCCTCCGCAGGCCCGGGCTCATGCACCTCTACAGGATCCTGCAAGGTTTGGCGCTCTGACTCACCACCGTGTGCATGGACCCCGTCTTCTGAGCCCCGAAGTCGGAGGTCGGTAGAGCCCCCACCCTGCCAACTCGAGTAGCGACTTGTCCTTTCCCGGTTCTCGAGTGGGCGCTGTGGCCGCCATGTCTGCGGGCCTGCGATCGCCGGGTCTGGTCCTGCGTCGTTTGCCCGAAGCGAGCCCTGTCCACCCTGGAACTGCAGTGGAAGCCCATGCCCAGTGTGCCCTGGGTTTCTTAGGGGGGTCCGATGGTCTTGCGACGGAGAGCGCGACGTTCCTACACCAGAAAATCAAGGTACGTCCTGTACGTCCTGGGATTCCAGGGTTGGGTCTCTTGTGGAAGGTCTCTTGTGGTCGGGCTCCTGCTGCGGGGACCCGCGGATCTGGCGCATGGGCGCCTTGTCCGCCAGCTCGGGGGAGGCACCCCCGAAGCGTGAGGCCAGTGCCGCCCGCCTGGGCGACGGAGAGCGCGCCGATTCCGCGCGGAAACGGGGCCCGTCGCGACGCTGATCCAGCGCTTCATCGAGACAAGTCAGCCATGCGCAGAAGGGGGTGGGGGGAGGGGGGAGGGCCTCTTAGAAGCACCCCTGCTCCTTAGAAGGCGCGGGCCTTCTCTGCAGATGCAGGGCCGCCGCCTTCTAAGAAGCAGAGCCTCCTTCGAAGAAGCCTTCTCCCTCCACCGCCTTGTGCGCGCCGCCAAACAAGGTGGGGACGGCGACTGCGACGCCGAGGAGGGGGGAGGGGTAGGATGCGGAGGCTGAGGGTGAGGAGGAGGAGGAGGAGGAGGAGGAGGAGGAGGAGGAGGAGGGAGGAGGAGAGAGGGAAGGAGGAGGAGGGAGGAGGAGAGAAGGATGGAAGAGGAGCAGGAGGAGGAGGAGGAGGAGGAGGAGGAGGAGGAGGAGGAGGAGGAGGAGGAGGGCTTCGTGGGCGAAGAGCCTGTCCGTATCCGCGCCTCGCGGGCCGGGCCCCTTGGGCCGCGACCGCGCGGATACGAGAGGCGACTGCTCGGCGGGTGCCCCCCCCCTCGCGGAGCGGTTCTGTGCGAGTCCGCGCGTGGCCGCGGGGCCGCGCGCCCCGGCATCGAGACCGCGGTGGCACCGATGCGGACATGTGCGCCGTTCGTGAGAGTAGCCCCTCCCCAGAGTTTCTCCTCCTCCTCCTCCTCCTCCTCCTCATACCTACTCCTCCTCCTCCTCCTCCTCCTCCTCCTCCTCCTCCTTCCCCTCCTCCTCCTCCTCGTCCTCCTCCTCCTCCTCCTCCTCCTCCCCTCCGCTCGGGTCGGACGACGACGGCGGCGGTGGGGAGGGGCCAGGGCGGTGGCGCCTGCTGCGCGCAGCTGGTCTCGGCTCCGCCGCAGCTGCTCCTTCCACGGTGTGTGTATCCCATGCCGCTCCCGGCGCGCCGGGAGGGGCGG